AACGCGACTACCGTACTGTAGACAGATAATTGCATGCCATTATATACTGACAAGTACTACAGAGGACGTACTGATGTTATTAATTCTAACCAGTCTCTAAAGATAAAAAAAAATCAATTGCTATAATTGTTAGCCACCGGAATGCGTGCATTAACATGTAAATTGTATTTTCAATAATGTTTCTTTAACAACCACAAGAGATTACAAGTGAAAAGAATCTTGAATTTTTAGTGACATTTTTCTATAATCCGATATAGAAATGATATAGCTGTTAATGCCATGGTAACGGCTCTTCATTATCATTTCGGAGGATATATGTGTGCGCCTAAATAAATAAATGAACTTTGAAATTGATATCATCGCTCTTTTCGTCAGGTTTGTTTGAAGTTATTTGTTTGAAGTCTTGAATAAGATAATGACAACTGAGGATCTTCAGTTATTGATTGACGGTTTTGATAGACGGTGGTGATTTGCTTCGAATCAATTCATTTTCTGGTGATTTTTTTTTGTTTCCCGCGGTCACGTGGCATGGGTTAATTAAATAGCGTTCTAGAGATTAATGATCTTGTTGCCCGTGAATATCCGTAAAATCAATCGATCATTTAAGTATATCTACTGTGCATCGCATTATGTTTGTAACACCCTGACATCGATATAGCCACTTAAATGCGACTTTCCATGCAATACACATATAACTTCTGTTTATAAATACAGTTGTATATTGCTGCAATGCAATAAACGGTGTCAACTCATTGTATGGGAATAGCTGGCGTTCAAAAAAATAAAACAATTCTATACACTACTAAAATCAGATCAAATTCTGAGGTCAGTTACTTATAGCAATGTTGTTTTCTTGCAGAAATGGGAAGCAACATAACACGAGATGTAAATTAATAATTTATACTATAGCTATATCACTCTGCATAATGTCAACAATACATATTTAATAGCTACCCACACAAGTGATCGTTATAATTAACTACATCTAAAACTGACAGTGGCAAACTATGACAAAACTTTCAATATAATGGAAAACACTGACATTGAGTTAAGTAGATTAGTGCAACATATAATATATCAAAAATCAACCATTTCAAATTAAACGTAACCGCACCGAAAATATTGTAAAATATTATTAATTATTTAATCGCCATATTGCCTATTGAAACGAATAAATTCTGAACACATAATTCATTTGTCTTGCGCTTAAAAATTAATAAATAAATATATTTTACACATGTGCGGCTATCATACATGAATATATATATATATCACATATCACATATCATAGTATAAATATACATTTGTCGATAATGTAAACACCTTGTATACATCGAGTCAAGTTTAATGTAGTTTCAGACATGCATCATAACTAATCCTCCTTCATTTAACTCGAATATAACAATATGATGGATGTGCAAGCTTACACGTACATGTTAAATCATTGGATTTGACGACAACACTGGCGGATACAAGTAACAGTACTTAAAATGTGAAAACATGAAATCAAAAGACAAAAATGTGATCGCATACCCCCACGCCGAATAAAAAAAACGGAGTATACTCAAACGAATGTGTTTGATCATAATAATTGACTAACCTTATATGTATTTCCATTGGTTATTTAAACCGCGATGATCGGTAGATTAAACGTATATTTGCCAACCAATTAACGGTTGCAGTGCCATAAAAGAAGCAATCGATGTCTCAAGACAGCCTCCCCGCATGTAAATGGCAAGCTTTGTGGACCTCTCCTAGCTATATTATTAAAAGCTTCAATTTTAATCTTTTATAGCATTCATCAGACCTACTACGCACAGAGACTGCTTATTCCTACACTAATCCTCTGACATTTCATACTACAAAATACGAGGTGCAGCTTCGAGTCGTATTTCTGGCATTAGTGGTCGATTCTCTTAATAATACATAAGCAATACAAACCGCGCTCAAAGCTTTGTAAGAACACCAGAGCAAGTTTATTATTATTGTAATATGAGTAGTTAATAAAACGACTCACATTCAAACCACAATGTACCCGTAAATTAATATAGAAATAGACTTACGAATATTTAAATAAGTCTACGATGATTTGGTATGTGCTTAAAATATCCCGATAGCGGTGTAGGAATACATATTTAGGTGTCTTTGCTGAGAACAATTATTTGAGTGACAAAAAGGTGCAGAGTGTTAAGAATAACCATTTAGCTGCTTGATGACTCACTGTGTTAATTGTATGTGAAGACACCATTTATCAATATAGGCAGCAAGTGTCTGATTTCACATGATACTTTATAACAGAGAACTCTGCACGTGTTGCGTGTTTCGTGTCACTTCCGGACACTGCAGTAATGTAGCGCGTGGCTGTATTAGAACCACGTCACTGAACGTAAAAGATGGCGGAGGCATTTTCACTGTGATATTTCACAGAAATATTACCACACACAGGACAAAATGTATAAGAATAAGGTGATCTAGGGAATACCGGAAAGTATGCACTTAAGCAGTACGGTGTCGCATTGTCCTCAGCAACGCATCGGCGTCCTAACTTTTCGTTGGCGCAGGTATCTTCACTTTTCGCTGGCGTTTCGGGCTGTTATATCTCACAGATTTATTACTACACACAGGAAACATGTATAAAAATAAGGCTGTCACGACTACACCGGAAAGTACGCACTCAGGACCGAATTCACTCTGGTACGCGTCGGTCGTGCATACTTCGCGGTATTCTGGTAATAACGTCATATTTTATGACCATGCACATCTTATATAGAATGAGCTGAAAGTAAGTACAATTAAATAGACTACCATCTGATTACATGGGGTGTTTAAGACTAAACCAATGGAAACAACTCACCGCCGTTCTACAGCAGTACCGTACATCACACACTGTGTCAAACTTAAGTAACGACGTATACTGAACAGTTATTGAGCAGCTTCAGAGTTGTGTCCCTAAAGGTACACAAGGAGTGACTTGCAATAACCCGCCTTTGTCTTGCAATAGTCGAGTCACCGTCTCACAATGATCACGCCTGTGTCTTGCAATGATAAAGCCATGCAAACACTTTATAACAATAAATATATTCATGTACGTGTTAGCATCATATAGAGAGACTAAAGAATTACGTCATATGCATGTTGCTATTGAATTGAGGTTATATTTGTAATATTTTAAGATACGTCTTACTCCTAATGATTACCATATGCAAATAACAAGTGGAAGATATGGATGGTTAGTAATATAATAATATATACACATCGTTTTGGATTGAAAAAAAAACAAAAAAAAACAAACATTAAAAATCGTTTGCGCAATTAAGTGACTATGTTACAAAAAATGGTTTCACAATACCCGGATATTTACAGATGGCATTTGAAGAACATCTGTACAATAACAAGTCTCATTGCACGTTGTAACGCACGGAAAACATACACTTATAGATTTGGAGATTGACGTATTGCCAGTAGACATATTAGTTATAATGTGCCCACGTTTTAAGATGCGGATAAAATTACCAGTATATTGTGCCGTACCTGGATCATGATGGATCGCCTACTTCAGTTTTATGCTCTCGTATGCAAGCACGTGAAATTTGCGAGTACTAATTCGCCAGTATTTGAAGAAACGATTACGTAACGCATACATCACAATACAAAATGCAAACAATTCAAAAGTTTCAATAAAAAGCGTTAGAACAAGGGATCTCGATAAAACTTAATGTGAAGTGTTCGGAATCTCCACAACCGAGTATGAACAATACTAGACTACGCTGAATGAAATAATACAAACACATAACGACAAACAAACCAACAATGCTCAAAACAATTACACCCTATACAAAGAGACGCAATAAAATCATACCCTTAGTCCAGTTTTCGATGTTTTGTCAAATGTTGCTATTCACCGCGGCATTTCTTTACCGTATCTTACAGCCAATGCTATTCTATATACGACGTCTATTATTGTAACAGCGAGTCAACTCAAGGCAAATTCGACGTCACTGTTTCCATGTCAACCCATCTATTTCATAAACATGATGGATATCGAATTGGCTTAGTTGGTGTACACCAAAAGAAGGCTATTTATAGTGCATGAGTTAATAAACCAACAAGTTTCATTGTGTCCACACAAAGATTGCCGGACATCCAATATTAGAGACCCTCAATTGTGAAAATAAAGCTGCACAGACATTCTGTCCACTGTACTCTCTACTCGAGACAATCGAGAATACACATCGTGAACAGCTACCCATATGAACAAACTTGCCGTTAGATCACAACATTAACACCAAGCATGGATATTATATCACCTCACTGGCCAAAAACAAGTTATAACTATTGAAATACAAACAATTCCTTTATCCAATGTGATCTTACTTGGTTTATTTCGTTGACAACGTGTCGTTATACAATATAAGTACTTTCTCCATGGCTTGTCGAATGAACCATCAAGCTCATACAAAGGAAGTCAATAAAGTGCGCCCTCTAGAGACATAGGTCGCTGACACATGACAAAGTGCAAAATTTAGCCATAGGAATACTGAATTAATTATATAGTATTATATAATCTAGTCTGATAAATTAACTCGATATAAAGGTTAAATGAGTCCAAGCCCCGCTTCATAAATATGATACTTTATTCAATTATAAAATATGTATATCGCAAAAAAGACAACCAAGTTGTCTACACGTTGTCTAAATAGGTCACGTTGTCTACAGAGACCACGTTGTCTGCAGAGACCACATTGTCTACAGAGATCACTTTGTCTAAAGAGACGACGTTGCCTACAGAGCCCACGTTGCCTACAGAGCCCATGCTGTCTACTGAAACCACGCTATATACAGGAAACCACGTTGTCTACAGAGACCACATTGTCTACTGAAACCACGTTATATACAGGAACCACGTTGTCTACAAGGACCCACGTTGTCTACAGAGACCACGTTGTCTACAGAAACCACGTTGCCTATAGAGCCCACGTTGCCTACAGAGCCCACGTTGTTTACTGAAACCACGTTATATACAGGAAACCAAAATATACAGAGACCACATTGTCAGCAGAGACCACTTTGTCTACATAGACCACATTATCTACAGAGACCACATTATCTACAGAGACCACATTGTCTACAGAGACCACATTGTCTACATAGATCACGTTGTCCACAGAGACCACATTGTTTACATAGACCACGTTGTCTACAGAGACCACATTGTCTACATAGACCACTTTGTCTATAGAGACCACATTGTCTACATAGACCACTTTGTCTACACAGACCACATTATCTACAGAGACCACATTGTCCGCAGAGACCACATTATCTACAGAGACCACATTGTCTGCAGAGACCACATTGTCTACATAGACCACGTTGTCTACATAGACCACGTTGCCTACAGAGACCACACTGTCTACATAGACCACTTTGTCTACATAGACCACATTATCTACAGAGACCACATTGTCTGCAGAGACCACTTTGTCTGCAGAGACCACTTTGTCTACAGAGACCACGTTGTCTACAAAGACCGCACTGTATGCAGAGACCACATTGTCTACA